GTGCCACTAATTGGAAGGTTGGACGTGCTTGCATCTTCACTCTAACTCTCCTCCAGTCTCTCGAAGACAGTTGCCTTTATAGGTACTTACTACTTATAGTGTAATCATCCATGGGGGTGTCAGGTTATTCCATTACATCACTACCTAAAATGAATATATTTTAGTATAACTAAGTCATAACTGATGAGGCAGATTTTTTTTCCTGCAGTAGGTTGCCATTTCTTTCTGCAGTAGACCAGTTGCCATCCAAGGCTATAGAACCCAGTCTGTTCTGCTATTTATCCATACCTGGGAGGAGAAGAAGAGGATTCATACTTTTCCCAATGTTATTAGCACATAAGTGAATGTAATGGATTCGACTGGGATTTGAATTCTGCTCTCTGATTCCTCAACCTGAGCTACTATCTCTTTATTTCACTAAAATATTGTTATATTCCGTGCTAAGGGAATAAATACTTAACCCCAGGTGGATAATAGAAGAAAGGTTTATTGTACACAACAAGTACAATATGAAATACGGTACAGATATACACACAGGTCAATATAGTAGTGACTGCCACTAATTGGAAGGTCGGACGTGCTTGCCTCTTCTCACTCTTGACTCTCATAGACAGTTGACTTTATAGGTATTTACTATCTATAGTGTAATCATTCATGGGGGGGGGGGGTGACTGTTTATTCCATTACAGCAGGGTTTAACATTTATGTTAATTTCATATTTTGTAAAGTATTTTGTATACATGTTTCTGAAGAGTAAGGAATTTCAAATTTGTTGAGGTGTTGCGGAAAAAAAAAAATGATTTGGTTCTCATGTCACTCTTCCTTCCCTTGTGGCTACATTTTGTCTAACCTACCCGTACCACCTCTTTTTTTATCGCTGTTAAAATTACAATCGAGTTCATTGCATTCACTTTCACACAGATGTATGGATCCATCTTTTCTCCCTCCAGCTATGGGTGAAATTTCAGGACAAACTATCTCTCTCTCACTCTCTCTCTATAGGCTAGGTTGGCGACCAGTCTAGGAGAAGGACAACTCTGATAAACCAATTGGGCTTAAAGTTGGCAATTATATCCTGTAAAAATCTAATTGCTATGAAAATTACAGCAGCAACACCTATGATAGTGAGGCTGTGGCCCTATACTCCATTTGAAGTCTAATGGTCCAATGAAAGAAATAAATAAAATACGACTAAATCAAACAGTTTCATGGAAAATAACTAAGCTCTTAAAATATGTATGCATTTTTAGTTTTTATTTATTTTTAGTTTTACATCTATGTGCAAGAGAGAATGTCATCATGCTATTCATGATCTGAGATCACTTGTTGGGACCCAGGAGGACATGAAATGATAACAATGGTGATTATCAACAGCAGAGAGAAAAGTCATTGTGAACTCCATAACCTTGTTGATGGCTGTGTCGTATATGTTACACCAAGGTTACATAGGTTGAATTCAGAATTGTCTTTCTCTTAGACTAGTTGACAACCATGGCTAAAGAGCCAGTCGGCACTGTTATTTAACCCATAGCTGGGGGAGAAGAAATGGAGTCATACCTTTCCTAAAAATATTTGTAGGGTAATTAATGCTATTTTTGATTTGATATGAGCATCGTATATACTCGGGTATAATGTGAGTTTTTCTGATCAGTTTTTACGCAAAAAATAAGGTGTCGCACTATACACTGGTAATTTTTTGAAGACATTAAAAATGATACATTTTTGGGTGACCAGTTGCACTATACACAGGTATCATTTTTTCTGGAGGGGTTAAAATTCATGCAATAAAACTCAGGTGTTGCACTCTATGAAGTCGCCTTATGCATGAGTATATACGCTGTAGAACATAAATGAAAGTGAATGACAATGTCATCAACCACAATAGAGCCAAAAGTCATAGCGAACTTCATGATCTTGTTGATGACTGTGCTACATCAAACATGGGCAACCTTTTTTGAGCAGTCAGCTGCATGGTTCATGACTCATAACAAGGCAGGCCGCATTACTAAAAAGATTCAAGGTCATTTTTCGTAGTAGGTACCTCAACAATTTTCACTACAGAAGACTATATGCAATAAGCATATTCCTGAGAAATGGAGGAAACATTTTTTTTTTGAGAAAAGCTGTTTCTATAATTAAATAATTAAAGTTTTTGTATCTGATCTTGCTCCAAATTTTCTGTAACCCCTTGCGTCCTAGTGGCTTGCTCGGGGTTAAACGCTTAAAAAAAAAAAATATTATCACTGATGACACATGTCACTGCATGTGATTTATTTCTTATCCATTTGAAAAATTTTTAAAAAGTATATTTCTTCTCCAAAGAAAAAATTAGTATAAATGTTTCTTGTTTCAAAAGTAAAATATATCTACACATATGAACTTAGTGAAAATTGTGTTGGTTTAAAATGATTAAAATGTTATATTCACCAAAGATTTACAAAATTCAAGCAACATTGTATGTAATCTTTGTTTATGTATGACAGTGTGTGGGTGAACACACTTAAAGCAGACATGGACAATCTTTTTCAAACAGTGGGCTGCATGATTTGTGGCTCATTAGAAGGCAGGATGCAATACTAAAAAGATTCAAGGTCATTTTTCATAGTAGGTACCTCTGCCATTTTCAATACAGAAGACCATATGCATAAGAATATACCTTAAAAATGAGGGAAACATTTTTTTTTTAAGAAAAGAAATTAAAGTTTTATTATAATATTTTCACTGTTGACAGATATCGTCATTTTCCTTATGAAATTAAGCATACCATTCAAAACAAAATTTTAAATGTTAGGGGAAACTAATTTCTCCCCCTATAAAGGATGATAATTCAAAATACAATTGAGTTATTTCCCTTGTCTGGGAGATAAACGCGCCACTTCTGAATTCAAAATGGTGACAAGCTGACATACACATGGAATTCATGGTTTAAATCCAAACTAATCCTTGCTGTTCTCAGGCATTTGTTTTAAGAAAAGATTTCTCTATAATTAAATAATTAAAGTTTTCGTATAATATTATCACTAATTACAGTGTGATTAACACGTCATTTCGTGGGATTTATTTCTAATTTATATATTTGAAAATTAAAAAATTAATAGTTCATTTCTTCTCCAAAGAAGAAATTAGTATGAATGTTTCTTGTTTCAAAAGTAAAATATGTTTACATGTATGATCTTCCTTAATGAAAACAATCATTGGTTTAAAATAATGAACATGTTATTTCCGCTGAAAGTTTACAAAAGTCAAGCAGCATTGTACATTATTATTGTTTATGTATAAGAGTGTGTGGGTGAACAATTGAGATCAAAGCAAAACAAAATTTTAAGAAACGTTATTTTCCTTAGGAAATTAAGCATGCCATTCAGAAATACCAAAATGGTCAGTTTGTCCATGACTTTGCTACACCAAGGCTACATACATTGAATTCAGAGCTCTTCTTCTTCCAGAGATTCCATAGTTGGTGAGTTTGTGCAGCAATTCCCTTGTATCACAACTTGTCAAAGGTCTTCCAGATATCTAAATCGATCCTGCTCAGAATATTTTTATTATCAAGAGCTTCACTGATTCTATATATAATAGTTAAGACATCAGCAGTGGACCTAGAAGAGTGAAAGCCATACTGTTTGTCTCTCAGGAGCTTGTTTTTATTGAGGTATTCAACAACATTACTGTCAATGATAGCTCCAAATATTTTGCTAATGATATAAAAGAGACTGATGGGATGATATTGTGACAGGGGTGAGGGCTCAGCTGTATTCTTGTACACAGGTCACACACTGTAATTACTTTCCGTGGGCTTGGGGACATTTCTTCTTAAGGCAGTGGTTAAACAGTATTACCAAGATTGGAGACAGTTCTGGACCAAGATCCTTGAGAACAACTACAGGAATTTTATCTGGGCCAGTAGCCTTCAGTGAGTCACAGTTCAATAGTTTAATGATGATGACTGTTTGATCAGAGTGTGTACTTGTCAAAACATTTTGATGAGAAGGCATAACTATTTTAGTTATTTAAGCTTATTATGTTTTGTTAACTGTTTTATCCAAGTTATCATCTTCTTCCAGGACAGTTCAGCTTGGCTAACATTTACTGGGCTGGGTCCCAGTAAATGTTATTGTTATCCAAGCTGACTATTTTATAAATTTGAACTTTCAGCGGATACAAAATGAATAATTAGACATGGTTATATTGTTTCAATTTATTCTGCAGTATTTTTACAATGTATAAAATTATATGTAATTGAAAAGTATTTCTTTTTTTTAAAAATCAAAATGAAGAACTTATCAGCCATAAATATTACAAGGTGATCTCACCTGTCGGATAACAATGGTTTTTGCAAGCCATTGCTAGTGAGGTACATGCTCATTGGGTACCAAACTATCAGTCTGTTATGTGCCATGCGTGATACATGCTTAGGCAATCATGTTTCTTTCAATACATGACTGATGAGACAGATTTTTTTCCCCGCAATAGGTTGCCATTTCTTTCTGCAGTAAACCAGTTACCACCCAAGGCTATAGAACCTGTACTCTCATGCTATTTATCCATAGCTGAGGTGAGAAGAGGATTCATACCTTTCCTAAAGGTATTAACATGTAAATGAATGTGATAGATTCGACTGGAATACAAACTCAGCTCTCCCATTTCTCAATCCATTACTTCTTTTTCCTGCAGTAGGTTGCCATTTCTTTCTGTGGTAGACCAGTTGCCATCCAAGGCTATGGAACCCGGTCTGTCCTGCTATTTACCCATAGCTGGGAGGATAAGAAGAGGATTCATATCTTTCCCAATGGTATTAGCACATAAGTGAATGTAATGGATTCGACTGGAATTTGATCTCGGCTCTCCAATCCCTAAATCCGAACCGCTATCTATTACTCCACGGAGAAGATTAACATTTCATAGGCTGATTAAGCCTATGAAATGCTAATCTTCTCAGCTTACCATCCTCAACAAGAATGTGTTGTGTGCAAATGTTCACAGTACAATCTGTTTGGAAAATGAGAGAAAGGATAAACAGAATATTTTTTCTTCTTTTCTTTCTTTCTTTTTACTTTCACATCTTTTTCTTTCTTTCCTCTTACATTTTTGCTTTCTTTTTTCCTTTTACTTTGCTTTTCTTTCTTTTCTTCTCACTTCTTTTTTTACTTTTTCTTCATTTTCCTTTTATTTTTTTCTTTCTTTCCTTTTACTTGCTTTTTCTTCTTTCTTTTTTCTTTCCTTTTCTTTTTTCTTTACTTTTACTTTTACAAACTAACCTGGCCGTGCGTCTCGAAAACAACCTCCAATCGGTTGTGAACTGGGGCAGAAATTGGCTGGTCAACTTTAATGCCTCAAAAACAAAACTGCTCTCTATTAATCACCACAGAGATCCTTCCCTGCCCTCTATTAGAATGACGCTCAACTTCTCGGGAGCACCTCTCTGCAGCTGCTCGGTCTCACGTTGACTCCTGACCTGAGATTGAACAAATACATTGAGTCAATTGCTTTGTCAACAGCAAGGAAAGTTGGCTCCCTGTGCTGCGCCAGGAAATTTTTCTCCCTGGAATTGATCCTCCAGATCTACAAATCAACAATTCACCCTTGCATGGAGTATTACTGCCATATATCATATGGAGCCCCTTCTGTTTGCCTCGGGGTTCTTGATAGGCTCCAGAGGCGGATATGCAATATAAGTGGCCCTGTTCTGGCATCTCGTCTACAGTCATTTTCTCACAGACATGCCGTCACCTCTCTCTGTCTTTTTTACAAATACTTTCATGGCAATTGCTCCGAGGAGCTGCATTCGCTGGTTCCCAGACTTCATGAGTTCAAGCGCTCTACGAGGTTGGCATCCCGCTCTCACACTTTCACTGTTGAAATGTAGCCATCTCTTCTACTCCAATAGCTTCATGTCTCGCACCTCTCGCCTGTAGAACTCCCTTCCCTATTCCAGTTTCCCTTAGAGCTATAATCTCCAACTATTCAAATGCAATGTCAATCGACATCACCAGTTGCCTTGATCTATCCACTATCCTTCTCCTAATCTTTTCCTCTATCACTCCTATCTGATCTTGCTCCAAATTTTCTGTAAAAAGGCTAATGGCTTCCCACCTTGCTTGGGGTGAAACACTTAAAAAAAAAAAACTTTTCTTTTTTTTTCTTTTTTACTTTTTCTTCTTTTTTACTTTTTTCTTTTCTTTTACTTTTTTCTTCTTTTTCTTCTTTTTCTTTCATAGGCTGAGGGAATATAAAAATATCCCCCTGCCAAAAAGATCATAATCATTACATTCACGGAGGCATTTGAAGATCAAGCAGGACCCAGAGTAATACTAATAGCAACACAAGTTATAAGCTTCCAGAATTTTTTTCATTTTCTTTTTGAAAGAAAAAGAAAATTACTTTTCTCATTCTTTTTTTTTCTTTTTCCGTTTCTTTTCCTTTTTTAAAAAGAAAATTACCAGAAAGTTATGCATAGCAAAAGACAGGCTGAAATTCCTTGAGGAAGGAGGGCTTGAAAAACTTAATACTCACAGGGCATATTGACAGCAAGAGAGATAGCGGAAGGCAGTGAGCTTCTGTGAATGGATGGTGAAATTTGGTGGGGGCCTATCAAAGAGGGAAAATCTGCTAAGATCCACACGAGATAAGCGATCATGGCTCTCCACGACTTCTATATGCTGAAGGAACATGATACATAGAAGAAGAAATCTTAGATTCCATCCATCCATGCAAAAAAAAAAAAAAAATAAAAGTTACTAAAAATGTTTGGATAAGATAGTAAGTTAAAGCAGATTTCGTTTATTTTCAACCATCATTGACTGAAGAGATTTCAAATTAGTGCCCCAAATAATTTTGAGCTTTGATAAAATTCAACCATATTGCAAAGTTTGTGTTTTTTTTTTTTTGTTTTTTTAATTTTTGTTTTCATGCTTCACTTTATTATCTGTGAAAATAAAAATGGTGAGAGAGGAAAAAAAATGTGAAAGTTGACCCTAAAGATTAAGTGTATGTGTATAAAAATAACCAAGGCTCTTTTTTGAAAGCAAGACGATGAATCCACAGGATAAAATAGTTTTATAATAAAATATAAATTAAAATTAAAATAATGCAAACGTCTGGTGCCAATTTAAAATGACGCCTTTTTTTTTCCTTATATCAAAATTATAGTTATAAATTATAATTTTGGAAAATTAATATTTCACTGAAGCTTTTCAAGGTTTCATCTGAAATCAAGAAAATGTAAACTAATCAAAATGGCTACAATATATGGAGAAAATATGCATCAGTCTTACACATTTCCTCCCAGATGTCTCCCTTTTTCTCTCTCTCTCTCATAAATATATATATATATATATATATATATATATATATATAAAAAAGAAATATGTTGTAGTGGTTCCAACGAGAGAAAAGTATGTATATTAAAAAGAAGAGAAGAGAGGTGCCGCAAACGTTTTTGGTTGTAATGTGGATTTATTTAGAAAAAATATTATGCTTTGTTTTACGTCTATGGTCATTTGGCTTGAAATATGTATTTTCTTGATTTTTCAGAAGAGTATTACTGGTTATTAAAACCTATTTTTATATTTTTGTAGTGTTTTGACCCCTTTTGGGAGGTTAACTATTTGCCCATAGCTTGGGACCCTGACAGGTGCTACCACCCCGGTTCAGGGTGGACCTGGGAACACCAGCAATTAAGAGGTGGTTCCACGTTCCTCAAAACCTCCTGATCAGAGGCCTTGCTGTTGGACATTGTTTATCGTCAAACCCAGGATGTGGATGTAGTTTATCATCTTACCCAGTACGGTATGTTGGCTTAAAATCGATTAATCCTTTAGGAAAAAAGTCTTATTACATGAAGGTAGCATAAAAGTTACAGGGACAGAAAGTGGAACTGAGAAGAAGAGTTCAAATTTCAGCTTAGCCTCCTGTATTCCCTTTTTCATAAATGTTCTTGGGAAAGGCATGAGCCTATCTCTTCTACCTCCAGCTATGGATTAAATAGTGGGATTAACTGGACTCTCTTGCCTTGAAGCAATAACTAGTATGAGAAATAAAAATTTTCATACTGGTTACCACCTCAAAACAAGGGAGCCCAATCAACCCTACTATTTAATTTAAAACCAGGGAGACTACAACACAGAACTACTCCATTATTATTCCTAATAAATTATGGCAATTCACAGATATTGAATAAAGGAAGCTATGGAGAGCCGTGATTATTTTCATCATGAAGGGTTAGGGCATTTAAAAGATAGAATAACAGTGCTGTAATAATTCAGCTACACAACAACATAAAATCAAGATTGAATTACTTCTGCAAAATCAACTGGGAAGTGATAGGAGAAAACACCAATGAAGAATATTCAAACAATTTTCTATTTACTGGAAGCATTTTACTAATATCAGAATCATTAACTGAATTGCAAGAAATGTTAAATGACTGAAATAGGTAAGTTTTGAAAGTATATTTTAAAAATGAACAGAAAAAAAGAAACAAAAGTAAGATTGTGAAAATAGCTGATGAAGATCTGAAAGAAGTTCAGGAATACATCTCGCCCAGATTTCCACCAACCGGCCAATGATCAACCCACATTGTGTCTTGATTCTCGTTCACATTGGTATGCATCGAAAACTGGGCAAGGCCTGCTGCATGTTCAGGTGTAGCAGTATGATTTCTCATGCATCCTAAGGAGGTAAATAGATTGATTCTTTTTCGCTTTAAGTCAATTACCAGAGATTCTTAGGAATCTCATCTCCATTTCATCTTTTAAGTCAATTTAATGACCAGAGTTTTGGGGAATCCTGTCTCTAGCTTGCCTTTGAATTGGTAAACATAAAAATTTGTTAGTGATTTTAGATAATCATAAAAGTAGAGTCCTTTAAAAAAAAGACCACCCAAAAGCTAAATAGGTGGTCCCCTTTTCCAAAACACAAGTGGACAGATAGGCGTGGTGGGTCCTCCAGCCTGTATACATATAATGAGCCAATCAGTAAGGAAATGACCAGCAGTAAGCCAGCAGTCACTGAGACGGTCAGCCAGTGAATGGAAGGATTCTTTTTCCGTGGCCAGAAGCTAGTAAGATAGCAGGAGTTTGCCTTCTTGAAGCCGAAGGAAGACATTGCCGATTAAGTGATGAATAATATTGTTTGCTATTTCCCAATCAGTGTCTTGAAAAGCATTTGTTGTTATTCTTTGTTGAATTCGATGATGTTCCTAATATTGACAAACCTGTGAATATAGTGAGCTGTCTGTATACGCATACAGCTGACCTTGGATGTCATCACATCTTGTGCAGTGACTTGCAGAAATGCATCATCACACAGGTAACGAAGGTGAAAACAAATACCACGTCAAGAAATCAGAATTCAAACCCTGTTTCATTTCCCTTCTTCTCAGGACTGTAGCATGTTAGACAAAATATCCAGTATTGAAATGTCTCTCCCTACATTCATCTGCAAACATCTTTGTGTTTTTAATGCTCATCATGTCAAGTGGATTAACCATTCTAATGTTATTGATATTGGTATTCATTTTTTTCAGTTGATCAATCTCTCAGTCAAATAGTAGATTTCCATACTCCTTTCTCTAATAATTCTGATCAACATGCTTCTTTTCTAGATTTGTTCCTTACCTCCTCTTCTGGCTTTTGTTGAGCCTCGCAGCTCTATCCTCTAGGCAATTCGGACCATGCTGAAGTATCGGTCGATATTTCTTTCTACTTGTTTCTTAGAAATTAACCACCCCAACCTATTCAAAAGGCTTCTTTCTGTTACCAGTTCCATTCTAAGAGTTTCTTCGCTCACACTTCTCACCCATAGAACTCTCTTCCATCTCCTTGTTTTCCTGCCAACTACAATCTTCAAAAGTTTAAATGCAATATCTGTTGTCATCTACTGTATTCTTTAATTTTGTTCTTTTATTGTCCTTTCTTCCTGATAATATTTTCTTAATTTCCTTCACTCGCAGCAACCCTCTTCCATATTAGTGGCTTTATTGCCTTGCTTGGAGTGAAATGATTAAAATCTGTCAATCTCATACTTTTGATATCTTTTTCAGTCTATCTGAGTTTTCATATATATCTATCTATCTATCTATATATATATATATATATATATATCATTCATATCTATCTATCTATCTGTCTATCTCGGCCTGTTCATACCTATCTGTCTATCTCGGCCTGTTCATATCTATTATTCTAGCTAGCTATCCTGGCCTGTTCATATCTATCTATCTATCTATCTATCTATCTATCTGTCTCAGCCTGTTCATATCTATCCATCTATCTGTCTATCTCGGCCTGTTCATACCTATCTATCTGTCTATCCTGGCCTGTTCATATCTATCTCAGCCTCTTCACTATCTATCTATCACAGTCCTTTCTTATTCTTCTCAGTCAATTCATATCTATATATCTATCTTTTTTAGTTCATTCATATCTATCTATGTATCTATCTATCCCGGCCTGTTCATATCTATCTATCTGTCACATTTATCTCCTTGAATACTCTACTTTCATTGTCCTCTCTCCTCAATAATGTTTTGTTCAGATTTTCTTTTCACTATCAGCAACCTCTTGTGTCTTAGTGGCTTTATCACCTTTGCCTGGGGTGAAATGATAAAAAAGACAAAGAGCGATCATAATTTCCTTTTTCTTTTAATATCTGAATTGCCATGTCTTTTTTAGAAATATATTTGAAGTAGTTTTCACGTTGCCTTTGTCACAGTTTCTTCTATGCTGTCACCAAAGGGTAGATAGTCCAGTGTACCCTGCTATTTAACCCATAGCTGGAGGGAAAAAAAATAAATTCATGCTTTATCCATGGGCATTTGTGCGAAAGTAAATGCAAAAGAGTAGATCGAAAATTGATCTTGGCTTGCTGATTCCATTTTCCAGACTGATAACCGTTACAATGTCTACACATCCTTTTCCCCAGTGTTTTATCTTTGAGTCTCTGACATATTTATTCAGTAGATAGAGTTTTGAAGGGGAGAGAAGAAGAAGAAGAGAAAACGTCAAATCTCTTAGCTTGAGTATTAGATGAATGGCACAAACAAACGGTTAAAATTTGAAAGAAATTTACATTTATTAAATGGCATAAAAAATAATAATACAGAATCCAAAATTTCCAAAACCAACAGCACAAAATGTTTCTGTGGACGTTGTGTAAATGGATTAAATTATATTGATTAAAAATTGTTGAGTAAATTAGGCTGCGTGATGAAATTAACAATTTCCTCTCACATTAAAATTTCAGCATTCAACAAACATAAAATAAGGACAACATGAGAAACAACAATTTTTGCACAACATTGAATAAAATATTTATATAAACAAGAGATACAAAAACAACTGGAGTAAAGAGGTGGTTTTAAAAAGTTTAAACGTAAATGTTTTAGGTGAAAAGTTATCAAAGTTCTGGTTTGATAGATTATAAGTTGTTGAACAGTCTACAATAATAAGAAAATGTTGTTTGGGTATTATTTTAATTTAAGGAAAAATAAACAGTTCAAGTTTGTATTTGAAATATTGTTCATGACTTACTTTAAGGTTTACAGAATTGTTGCTCTTTGATTTGTTTTCACTTGTTTGAAGAGAATATTCTAGTTGGAGTAAGTGGTTCTTAACAAGCTGTGTTTATGTTAATTGCAATAATTAACGTTGAGCTTGAAAGTGTATGGTAAAGATTCATGTATTAAGTTGAATGTGGAAAACTTGAGTTGATTATTCGTGATAAAATATTGCTGTGTGAGTAAGTGTTTCTTTCAGGCTGAAATCATGTTAAGGAACTTTAACATAAAGTCTGGAACTGTGTGACGAGTTTAAAGGGTTCCAATTGGCCCACTGCTGAAGATGAAAGACGTTTCATATTTATAGCTAACTTTGGTCACGTGTTAGGCTCACAGAGGCTTGACAGATTTTGGTGGAATTATTTTTTGGTCAGGTCAAGAACTAGGTCGATGTTATTCAAACATGACTTAAATATTAAGTGACCAATCAGAAGTTGAGATTTTCTGAAAATATATATTATGCTGAATAAGCTCTGTGATCCACTTTTTCTACAAAAATTGATATTGATAAAAATAAAAGGTGGTAGCGAGATGCTAATTTTTTTTGTGCACCACACAATTAGGCAAGATAACAAATTTGAATTACAATTCTGTTGGACTCATAAAACAATTATAGTCACTATCAACAAAATGAAGTTGAGAAGTTTGGAAAAAACTTGAGAAGGATGACTATTCACATGCATCGTTGTGTTTCTTTTAGACCAGTGGTCCATGTAACATTACTGGGGGTCCACACAAAAAAGAATAGCAAATTGGGAGGGGGGGGGTTGGCAGAGTAATATTTTAGTTGTCCATAGAGCAATTTCACTTCAGAATGGTTGTTACAACTGAGAATTAGGATTTCTACAATAATCTACACTATATGAAAATACTAAAAATAGAAAAACAACTTTAAAACTGGTAGAAAACCGTCATTGAATTGCAGAATGATGAAATATTACAAAATTTAAAGGAGGAGAGTATAATATATGGAAGACAAATGCTACCAAAAATATCCACTACTCTGGGAAAAAGCACAGTATAATAATCTTATTGCATTTCCATAATTTTACGTTATTAAATCAGGTTTTAGTCTTGTGTCTCTATTACTGTCATCGATGGAACCAAATATAAAAAATTTGCAGAACAACATCAACCACAGGAATCTCACTGAGTTATTTTACTAGTGTACATAAATGTTCCATAGAATTTAGTTTTTAAATACAAGTTTATTTTCATTAAATTAGTTTTACTTCAAAATAAAGCATTTACATTTACTATTTCTATAATACAATTCCTAAACCTATCTATTAATAAAAAAATAAGCTTTTTCTTTTCATCGAATGGTTATGGTGGGGGGGGGTCGACCAAAATAAAATTAAGAGTAAAAGTGGAGTCAATGTGTGAAAAAAAAGGGTTAGAACCATTGTTTTAGATAATAGTTAAGTTTTATAAACTTGTATTTTCATAAAAAAAATCATGGTTAATATCTTCAATTTTGTGACAAACTTTCACAATTCTCCATAGATAATTGCATGTTTCTCTAAATCTATAGGAACGTCTCCTTTCTGCTTTCTTTTCTTTCTCTTTCTTTTCTTTTTTCTTTTTTTTTTTTTTTTACTTTTTTTTCTTACTTTTCTTTTTCTTTTTCTTTTTTTTTTTTTTTTGGTTTCTTACTTTTCTCTTTCTTCGACTAAATAAAATTTTTTTTTAAAAGTGGAGGAGAAAAAAGGGTGAAACCATTCCTTTTTTTTTTTTTTTTTCTTTTTTACTTCTTTTCTCTTTGTTTTAACTTTTCTTTTCTTTTTTTTCTTTTCAATTTTTTTTTTGACAAACTTTCACAATTCTCCTTAGATAATTGCATGTTTCTCTAAATCTATAGGAACTTTTCTCTCTTTCTTTCTTCTTTTCTTTTCTTTTTCTTTCTCTTTTCTTTTCTTTCTTACTTCTTTTTCTTTCTTTTCTTCTTTTCTTTTCTTCTTTTCTTTTCTTTTCTTCTTTTTTTCTTTCTTCTTTTCTCTTTCTTTTCTTACTTCTTTTCTCTTTCTTTTTTCTTTTTTCTTTTTCTTTTTCTCTTTCTTTCTTTTCTCTTTCTTTTCTTTCCTTCTTTTTTCTTTTTCTTTCTTTTTTTCTTTTCTTTCTTTTCTTACTTTTTTCTTCTTTTTCTTCTTTTCTTCTTTTTCTTCTTTTTCTTTCTTTCTTTTTTCTCTTTCTTTTCTTTTCTTTTTCTTTTCTTTTTTTCTTTTTTTTTTTTCTTTTCCTTTCTTCTTTTCTCTTTTTTCTTTTCTCTTTTTTTCTTACTTTTCTTTCTTTCTTCTCTTTCTTCTTTTTCTTTTTTTCTTTTCTTTTCTCTTTCTTTTTTCTTTTTCTTTCTTTTCTTTTTCTCTTTTTTTCTTCTTTTTTTTTTCTTTCTTTCTCTTTCTTTTCTTCTTTTCTTTCTTTTTTCTTTCCTTTTCTTTCTTTTCTTTTCTTCTTTTTTCTCTTTCTTTTCTTACTTTTTTTTCTTTCTTTTCTTTCTCTTTCTTACTTTTCTCTTTCTTTTCTTTTTTTTCTTTTTCTTTCTTTCTTTTTCTGTTTCTTTTTTCTTTTCTCTTTCTTTTCTTTCTTTTCTTTTTTTCTTCTTTCTTTTTTACTTCTTTTTCTCTTTCTTTTTCTTCTTTTTCTCTTTCTTTTCTTCTTTTTCTTCTTTTTTTCTTACTTTTTCTCTTTCCTTTCTTACTTTTTCTCTTCTTTTTCTCTTTCTTTTCTTACTTCTTTTTTGTCATTGGCTTTTAGCTTTTCTTTGTACAGAAACTGTCCCCAGCTATTTGCCTGTGAAGGATTATGGCAGCATTTACCAACTTAAACAAGGAGACTGTCCAGAAGAGTTACAGGAAGATTCCGAAGTCGTCTTGAGGCTGTGATTGGAGCCAATGTCAATTTTATTGAATAAATTTACTCTTTAGTATTTCAAGAGATTTTTGTGTAATTTTGGTATGTCAGTGTTATTTTCATATTTGCGTAATTAAGACAAAATTTTATCCATCGCACGCTGTAGATGTTTATACCTTGATTACAGCTTCTGGGAGGGAGTGCATTATCTGCCAGGGTCAACTGTTTGAACAAGGCTAGTGCACTATAACAAGACCAGTACAGTAAAACTTTCGGTAATGATCACGGGTGCAACCATTGATGGCTTCAGAAATGTTCTATTTATCTAATTTCACTCAGAAGATGTATCTGTGGGTTATCCCACTTGGCTTTGCCAAAACGCCTACTAGGAGGCGCTCTTTAAGTCTATAAAATTACAATTATATTCTCTCATTTCCTCTTTTTAACACTTGCTTCCAGATGTTGTCGATGTAGATAAAGAACATTGCCTATGGGGCGCATTCACTTCCTTGGTCCTCTGTTGAATTTTGAACTATCTCACTAAGCGATCTGGGATTGCAAAGGAAATATTTGTTGGAGATTACTTCCACAACGCAGGGAATAAATCACTAAGTTCAGACTCAAACATTGGGGGCAGAAAGAAATGCCAAAAACTTGATTTGTAGGTACTATCTCACAATGCATGCAACCAGTCAGAAAAATAACTCATTCTCCAACAACCGTGGTAGCCAAAATACCTGAATTTTTTTCTCCCTGATTCGAGAACATCAACTGCTTTTATTGGCCGAGCATTTTTTCCATTAGTCGACCGCTGGGTGAGGACACTCAATTTTTGCATATCAAAATACTTTTATGGTGACTCCTGCGACTGACTTGTTTTTTAATTTAAATATTCCGTCTTCAGCATGTCATGTGGAATATGTGCCCTTTTTTGTGGTAAGTAATTTTCTTTTCCGCCACATTTTCCGTCGTAGGATACACGCAATGCACTGTCGCTTGGTTTGACGAGGTAAGTCGCTGTTTTCTTTGATATACTCACCCACATGTCTATCACACACATTTTTCTTATAGCTAGTTTTAATGTTTTCCTTTCATTACAGTTGTCTACACACAAAATTCCTTTTGTTAATAATGTAGTGAGTCCTGATAAAAAAATATGATATAAAAATAAAATAGATAAGCAAAAATAAAATTAATTAAAAATTAAAATAAGGCCTTTGCGCTTTCCTTTAAAACTTTTATCTTTCTCTTTCAATTTCTCTTTCTATACTTCTCTCAACCTCTGAGAAGGCAACCCTCAAATAAAAAGAGGAAGAAGAAAAGACTGGGTCAGGCCCAAAACAACGGAAGTTTGCAAGAGCAGGGCCTACTTAATTGCGTCTGAAAAATACCCAAAATCCGGGAGGCTCCACGCATAACTTCCGTTATTAAAAAAAAATGAAAAAGGATAAAAAAATAGACATCAACGAGCTGAGGGGACCAGAAGGACAACTGGAAAGGACGGAACAAAAGAACACAGTTATGTGTGACCTTTGAAGAAGCAGTCAAGAGGTCATCAGTTACTGACATTCCGTCCTGTTTTGGAGTCAAAAAGAATACAGTAGATTGGCACTGTCCTAATTTCTCATATTATTATTACCCCTATCTTGATCTGACTTCAAAACTACCAAAACGGACATTTCTCCAGGCTGCTATCAATATCCGTCTTAATAATCAACTTTTTGCTGCGCCAAATACCAAAGGACTCATCACTCAGAAGGAAATAGATTAAAATATATTATTTATTTTAACCCCTTGGATCAGTTGGTTTTATTCCCAAAGTTTCCGATAAAATAATTATCCTACTACTTAGTGAACATGTATGCTACAATAACATGCATTCTCGTATGTTTTGTTCATTGCTTTGTTTTAATTTTTGCCCTGACAATGTTGTTTGTGGGATAAATGTTCCAAGAGGCCATGTCTATACACCTCACGACCAAAGAGGTGATACCCGCTACACATCAATTCGTCATATTGTTTTGTTATATTAAGCGTACGGTGGCAGAACAAAGAAGAAACGACGGAGTTTTAAGAAATAAACAATTGTATTAACATAAAAATACAACAAATGGTAAATTGATGTAAATATCTCTCGCTGAAAGAAAGAGATAAGTAGAATTGTAAAAGTCATCCGCAAAGGCATACGGTAGGAGAGGGAGGGTAAGTTGTGACTTACTGTGGCGACAGCCTTTGATGAGTTGTCTTTGGAGATGGGAGGTCATTTCCGACGAGCGTTGTGAGACCCTGCTGCCCGACTCCGAAGATGTCCCTTTGCTGGGCTTTTATGTTCTTTTCTTACGCTCAGATCTGCTCCAATTTTTATTTTGTTTCTTTAGGCAGGAATTGGTGCTTTTGGGTGGAAATTGTGGATTGTATTTTTCTTTGAGTGTGTTAGTAAAACAGCAGCTATGTGCGAAGCCGATGCGCAGTTGACGGAATTTTAGTTCAGTCTTAGGTTTCGGAACGTTCACATCCGGCCAGTAGTGGAAATTTGTGTAATATGAATCAGCTGGTTTTAGGTAGATTATAACAGTTTTCACTAGTGCCGCATAGTGAGATTCGAACCAGGGTCTCATGGTTGGGAAGCAAACATCCTAATCACTTGGCTATCTCTACATACACGCATTCTTTTTATTGTTTTTTGTATTATTTTCATTTAGTTTGCTAAGGCAATTATAAAATATGTTGTTAATTGTCCGTTAATAGTACTCCCACACTAAACTATATTTTTATCACAAATATTCTTTAACTGCTAAAAAACTGTTGTTGCTTTGTTTTGGTCACTCATCGGCCGAAGTAACCAGTTATTCAATCGCCCCCTTGCATCGTATGCTGTATCGTGCGGGTATATTGAAAATCTGACCAGATAATCTTGTTAATGTCGAACAGCAAATCGGCTTATAAGTTGGACGACATTTGCAAAAATGATTAGAGTTATCTCCCTTAGAACGAAAAACATGTGGCCTTCTTAACCCAACGTTCATTTTGGAACAAGGTTTCTTTTGAAAAATGTAATGTTGAGGTGAGTTTGTTTGTTGTTTTTTTGGCTTTTCTTAATAAATGTGTAGTTTGTTCATTAATTGCTGTCATGCCGATGGATTTTCTTTCTGCCCAAAGCGAAACTTGAAATATTTCTTTTCCTTGAGTCTTTGGTAAAAAAAGTTTGATAGTGGGACAGATTGGAATTTCTTTTATTCCCTGCTTGTCTGTTATTTTGGATATTGAGTTCTTAAATAACATAATCAGTGTTTTCGTTATAGTTAAAATTACAAATTACTTATGCTTTATTTTGATAAATAAGATAAAATTTACTTAGGCATCATCAAAATTCAAAATGCATGCACACTTTCGACAATCAAAGCAAAGAAAAACACTTCTGTGTTTTTCTTTTTTTTTAAAAAATACCAAAAATCAAGGAATTATCCGATTCAAATGAAATTTTCAGTACTTATACATTAATGAATTAATTTTATGGTGAATAGATCATTATTTTATAAAGCTCTGTGGAAATATTTGGGGTGGGGTCAGTATCAAACCTCTTTCTTTATCAAAATGTCATAAATGAACACTTTTTGTTTTTTGGAAGGTATTCGAGATTTTTTTTACAAAGAAAAGTCTCTGAAGATGTTTAAGTAAAAAAAATAAAATAAATAACAACAACTGTGGACATACTAAAAATTCGCCCCGAACCTTATCAAAAATAATTAAATAATTTTTTATGAGAGTTGGCGCTTTCACGATTTAATAAAAACAAAAAATAACGCATTATTATTTTCTTTCAGATTTGACAGAGAAAAAAAAAATCAACATTCAATATTTATTTAAATAAAAAAAAAATTATTTACAATTTTTTTTAGTGTGGTTTTGAAATTCATCCAGTTGCTGTTTTAAACAAGAAAATTTTTTTATTAAAAAAAGCCGCTTTTAAAAGTCACGATTCACTGATAGAATGAGATGGTGAACACTAACAGTAATAATGGCATGTGGAAAATAGGAAAAATTAAAAAAAAAAAGAACTAGATTTCATTCAAAAGCAACTTTCTTTGCTAATAGTGTTGTTACTGTCTGTTACAGTGTAAATGTGTAAAAAAAACAAAACAAAAAAAACAATAACACTGTACAGGGTGGTCTGAAAGTCTTGTCACCCTACATAATTTTCTATTTCAGATAGCTGACACAAAAAAATGATGTTGTTCATACAGACCTTCTCGATAAGTGACAACATCAATGAAATTGAATAAACTGAATCCAGTACATGTGCTTTGTATCACTTGTTCTATTGGTTTCATTATTTTTTGGTAAGGGGTGTCAATAATTTCGGACCACCCGCTATCTATCTATCTATCTATCAAATTCAAAGGCTAGTTTATTCTACAGGGTGCTCCGAAAGTCTTGTCATCCCTGTATAATATAATTTTCTATTTCAGATGGCTGACATGAAAATGATGGTGTTCATACAGACAGACCTTCTCGATGTGTGACAGCGCCAATCAAAGTGAATAAACTGAACTGTATTCTATCGTTCTTACTTTTTGGTAGGGGGTGACAAGACTTTTGGACCACCCTGTATTTTTCAATAAATTCTTTCCAATTTTTCCACTTGGCCGTTATTACCTGAATTCAGAATGTGACACCATATACTAGCCTTTCACAAGTTCAGTTTGAGAGATTACTGGCGGTTATGTAACAGTGTACTGATCAAGAGCAAATCCCCAGTTCCTTCTTTCTTTGATTTGAAGTATTGTTATTTACTGCAGGTAAAGCCGAATGCTTTACTCAGAAATTCTGTTCTAACTCCAACAAGGACTCAAGAGTGTTGTTAGGTCATTATTATTATAAATAAATAAAAATATAAAATAATAATAATGACTATTATAAATTGTAAATAGCACATTAAGTTTAATAAACATTCTCATAGGTTTTAAAATCTCATACCTAACTACTGGATTGACCATGTTGGATATTCATAACCAGCTGTCTCTCTATGTTATGAAATTCAATTGTAGTTTGCAATTGCTTCTTTAATAAGTTGTTATCTTCAATTGGTTGACAATGGTACTGTAGAGGACTGTGTGGGTTAAGTGTTGTTGGATTAGAAACACTTGCATTTTATTCCAGGTAGAAGAAGGTCCAACTACAAGAACATGGCGAACTCAAGTTGAGTCCAACCAAAGATGTAAAGAAAACAAACAAGACCTATATATATATATATATATATATATATATGTGTGTGTATTAAACAACAAATTTACAAGTGACAAAGACATCAACATTTGTGTTTGTGAGTAAATGTAAAGAGTTTATTGGTGAATGTTCGTACGTATGTGTATGTGTGTTAAAATGTATCCGCTGAAATGCAAAGTCAAAAGAGAACGAGGCAAGAAGTCGTCCAGTATTTATAGTGTAGGGAGAGCGACCCCTAGTGAAGAATTAGGGAATTAAGGAGGAGCTAACTCTAACAGTACAAGCTGGGTCCATACAAAATCGTCTCCCTTGCATACATCCCCACAGTAAAACTTTGTGAATGATTTCATTCTTGCTTCTCTAACAATATCCTCTCTAAATGTTACTCCTCTCATTCTTGCTTCTCTAACAATATCCTCTCTAAATGTTACTCCTCTCATTTTTTAGCTGTCATCTTTGGCAAGTCACCATAGGGAATTTTGGTTAGTCATGTGTTACTAGCAACTGATATTTTTCACTCTGCTTAACATCTTAGTATAAGTACCAACACAATTATTGTTCAATACCTTCGTTAGAATCTATACAATGATTCAGAACAGAAGGACTGTTTCTATTGTTGTTCTGAAGAATTCAGTTTTGATTTCAGATGGTAGACTTGATTTTCTATATAGCATCTTTAAATATTACCCATTTGCAGGCAGTTTATTACCAGATAATATAATGGATTATGCTGATATCTTTCCCTATTAAATTGAGTTTTCCTAGCAGTTCAAATAGTTCTTTGTGTCATACATTACACTATTTCAATAATGTTATTTAACTTTAATAAATTGTATCATTCAATTTAAATTTTTCTCATACAAAAGGGCTGATTCCATTTTGTTAAAGTCTACGCAGTGGTTCCGAACAGAAGGACAGATTCCACTGTTGTTCTGAAGAATTCAATTTTGATTTCAAATGGTAGACTTGATTAGCTTATATTGTTTCCTTAAATCCTTAATCTCTTTAGTTGTCATTAGAATCCAAACAATATAATAGTTATTCATTTGGTATTAACTTTAATATTTTCTTGCTTCTCTAGTGACATTCAGATAATATATTTCTAATAATCTTAAGGTATTTTACTCAACACCTTTTGCCATATGTATTTTTGAACATTTAGCGGAAGTGTCAGCACCATATCAGTGTACACTGTTTACATTATTCGGACTATTATCCTCATCTTTGTCGCCATATCTATTACAACATTCCAGCCCTTAAGTATCTGTCTGTATTTCTGAGATGAGGTATTATGTACATTATTCAGACTATTGTCCTCATCTTTGTTGCCATATTTATTACAATGTTTCAGCCCTTCAGTATCTGTCTATATTTCTGAGATGAGGTATTATGTACACTATTTACATTATTCGGACTATTGTCCTCATCTTTGTTGCCATATTTATTACAACGTTTCGGCCCTTCAGTATCTGTCTATATTTCTGAGATGAGGTATTATGTACATTATTTACATTATTCGGACTATTGTCCTCATCTTTGTTGCTATATTTATTACAATGTTCCGGCCCTTCAGTATCTGTCTATATTTCTGAGATGAGGTATTATGTACACTATTTACATTATTCAGACTATTGTCCTCATCTTTGTTGCCATATTTATTACGTTTCGGCCGTTCTTCAGGTGGTTGGAATGTTGAATTGAACCCTTTATTTCACTCATGGGTAGGCTGTTCTGGTTCCATGTGCCATGTTTAATGGATGTCAATTATCAGTTATCGTTTGCTAATTCCCCTCTCCAAGTTCTCCAGTGCCTTAACCGGGTATGGAACTCACACTCTTTTGGTCCTGTCACTGGATCTAACCAATGCCTTTATCCACTGTGAGGCCTACATAAATTTCACAGACATGTCTATCACGTAGGCCTACACAAAATTTATGGATGTGAATATCACAAAGGCCTACACAAATTTCACCGACTTACCTAACATGTAGGCCTACATAAAATTCATTGCTTTGAGTGTGCTGGCCATGTTCAGATTGTTGATCACACTGGATGACACACTCTCTTCCTGAAACTGTAACTAAGGTCTACTCAGCATAGGTGCAGTATAAACCACAGGTGGGCTCTGTCGGTGTTGAACAAACACAAATGTAACTGAGTGAGCATCTGCAATAGGGATTGGCTAGCCACCCTAGTAGACAGATATCCTCGAATATGATTGGGCAGCTATATATATATATATATATATATATATATATATATATATAATCTACACACACAAGTATAGGATTGGTGTATATGGAATAAATTCCAATAACCAAAAATACTATTCTTAAAAGAGTGCTCAATACAGAGTAGAGCAAATATAATTATTTATTCGAAAATTATAACATAAATATGTTATAAAATCACTACAAAAATAGCCATTTTGTTTCAACACTTCTGGTTCTGTATCAAGTGATGGTGTTGAATTCAACACCATCAACTTTATAACATGTTTGTTATAATTTTCAAATAAATTATATATAGGACTCTCCCGTCGTATTTGATGTATGAGGGTCAAGCAACTCAGTTCCTAGGAACTGACAGCTCTGACACCAGCACATATGATTTGATTATAGTGGTGAAGGCTTTGTGCAGAAGCAACCACGCTTTTTGAAGGGCTGAATACTGAGACTTGGTGCACTAAGTGCCACAGGGTCCCCAAATGACCCTCTACTGGTTTTGAATTCAGAGTTGTCCTTCTAGACCAGTTGTCATCCAAGGCTATAGAAAGAACTCGGTCTATTCTGCTATTTTACCCATAGCTGGAGGGAGAAGAAGAATAATAATACCTTTAGCATGTAAGTGAATGTAATGGATTTGACTGGAATTCAAACTTGGCTCTCCGATTCTACAATCCGAGCTGCTACCCACTGCTCCACCATCCCTCCATATATATATATATATATATATAATATAAAAGAATTCTCTTTGTCTTTCATTCTCAGTAGTCCCTTGTGTTTTAGTGGCATTATTGCTTTGCTTGGGGTGAATTGATTAAAAATAATTAAGTAAATGTATATTTTAAGAGATGAAAAAATAAAGCACTTACATTCTTAAAAGCAAAAAAATAGGAACTGCCTTGAGATGTTGATAGTTAAATATTGTCTCAAAGAAACCAAAATTAATGAAGGACTTGATATTAATATCGGAGTTAGACAGCAGAAGTCAATAGCTTTGGAAATGGTAAACATTATGGAAGAATAACAGTCAAGGACATTGAATGAACAGTCACGATGTACAAACTGAATGACATTAAAAGAACTATCAATAAATTTTTTCTCCATAAAAAAGAAAAAAATACTTTCAAGAGCTTTGAAGATCTGAAAAGCTTTTGTGAGTTCTGTTAGCACAAGGCACGAAAGTTCGGTAGGGACATGTTAAAAAGAGCGATTTACACAGTTTCTGAAGAACCACAATATTCTGTAAAATGAGTTATTTCCCTTTAACTGTTTTTTTACGTTTGCTCAGAACGGAAATGACCAACAAAATTTTACCTGCATCTTTAGTAATGACTCGTATGTAAAAGTTCCTCTTGAGGTCAGGTGTGAGTTTAAGGCCCAGTAGTCTCTCAAGGCATGGTGCCTCTCCAAGGGGATATACAATACTTTCATGGTAACTGCTCTGATGAGCTGCTTTCGCTGGTTCCCAGACTTCATGAATTTAAGCATTCAACTAGGCTGGCATCTCGCTCTCGCCCTTTCACTGTCGAAACTGTTAAATGTAGCTGTCTCTTCTACTCCAATAGCTTCATGTCTCACACTTCTCGCCTGTGGAACTCCCTCCCCTTTTCCTGTTTCCCTGATAGCTATAATCTCCAACTGTTCAAATGTAATGTCAATCGATGTCTCCAGTTGCCTTGATCTATCCCCTAACCGTCTCTTCATCCTTTCCTCTATCACTCCTATTTGCTCTTGCTCCAACTCTCTGTAACCCCTTGTGTGCTAGTGGCTTCCAGCCTTGCTTGAGGTGAAATGCTTATTAAAAAAAAATACTTTCCATTATCCATGCTTTTTAATTCTCTCAATTCTGTCAAACGCTGTTCCATTTCATTCAATTACTTTGCATCTATGCAATTTTCTTCTTCGATGTGCCATGTTCCTTCAGGACGTTGAAAGTCATGGCTCTCCACAATTTCC